TCTATGTTAATTAACCCAAATGAAGTGCCATGTTGAAACACATTTTAACAGTTTCCTGGAAATGGGACATGATTTGTCATGCCAGAAACTACAGTTACAGACTGGCGCCCTGTTCTACAGCAATAACTAATAACAGTCAAAGTAGCTGGAGGATTCTCACCAAACTCTCATCCATTAAATTTTATCATGGTAGCTAATGGATCAGAACATTTAATATTTAGTGACCAAATGATTATAATTCAGAACACCTACTGTGTAAAAGCTGGACAAATCAAATTATGACTTCCTGGAGTGGCAGTAAATAGTAATATACAACACGGACACATTTATCCATAGTTGGCCAGCAACAGTATCTCTACCTGTGATGAACCTGCCAGGGTAGTAAATCCCCATGCACAGTGTGGTGAACACACCCACGTCCGTCCAGCCATAGAATCATCATTCATTACAGTATTGCCGGTCGGCAGTTTGCTTGGCTGAACATACAGCAATGATATGCATCACTTTCTGCATTATAATATTAGTAGAAAATCTAATTAAGTGTAAATCTATAGTGAAGAAACATTGGGCTGTATTTTGATACTGGTTTGATAACCTTTGTCTGATCATGACTCACTCTCACACACAAAGATAGGAATTATGTGTCATAGTTTTTTTATTGTCAGAAAATGTTTACTTCTTTAATCTAATCATTCAGTTACAGTCCATTTCATAAATGCTGGGCATGCTGTTGTTTATGAACACTTAAATATCTTGAACAATTGTGCAATATTTGGTTCAAGATTTATGATCCATTTTCAACATTAAAACTTTTTGGAAATGTACTGAGAAAGGGAAAATACATTTTGGAAATGGTCTCTAAAGCAAAAAAAACAACAAAAACAAATTCATCCCAAAACCAAACTATGCTGAAAACAGTGGCAATAAATTTTGGAATCTCTTTAACAGGAGTAACAAATATGGTATGAGAGAGAGAATTTTAAGATATGATTAATTAACAAAATCACTTTTTAACATTTGTTTGACATTTTCAAAAATAGCACCATCTAACGAAAGTAATAACACAAAAAGCCAAAGTAATGAACATAACTTCAGAAGAAGGCAATACACGATGCTTTTTATCTATCTATTCAACCCAAATTTTCCCTACAAACACATTTCCCCTTTTAAAAGGATTTTCATGATCACCTTGTAAAAAACAAACCACAGAGAAAACATCTCTAATTGCTGTGCATGTACAGATTTTAGAAATTAGCAAAAATGCCATCTCAATTAGCAAGTGGCATTTTCAAAGTGATTGTTATTTTTATTTATGGAACCAGATTTTCCCCTACTTTGAATGTTTTTACTTTCAAGCAAGAGATAACACAGGGCCCATCTCTGTCAGTCAACACAGTACAGATGTCCAATACAGAAACTCATCTGAAGTTTCCTTGTGTTTATTCTGTCCAGGTTTTTGTAATGCTATACACTTAATGTGTCTTTATGATTACAGTATTAAATCAAATAAAGGTTTGAAACAATAACCCAAATTTAGGATTTGATGCATGACATCTCACACTGATACACAAACATAATCACCTCAGTTCTCATCCAAAATCATCTAGTAACTTACAAAGTCTAGTTCTTGTCTAATTTTCCATAAAGCATAAACACTAAACATCCAAATACTTTTATTATTACCATCTTAGTGGGTTTTTTAATAACTCTACGGTACACAGTAGCTGTTCATCTGTCTACATTGATCCACCTCTCTAAGTTCAGCTTCAAAGTTTGTTGTTCGAAGTAAAATCAAAATAAACAGTTATATCTACTAACAATATGAATGTGTTTTGACCTTTCATGAAATCCTTCAAATGCTACGGTACTGCCAGTCCACAAAAAGAAATGCAGCAAAACGTGTCAAACACGCCACCATGTTTTGCTTTGCTGGTGAGTAATCCAGAAGAAAGCTGACTTCTTCGCTGAAGAGTGACCTTAGAAAGGAAACATGGAAAAGGCATTTTCTATGCCTGTATTCAGCTAGACATAACATAACTCATCAAACGTCATTCATAAACATTGGTTATCGACATTTGTAAACACTGGTAATTGGCAAGTTATGAGAACAAACTTGATGGATGTTGAGATGAATGTACATAATGGCTTGGTTTCGATACATTCTGCACACCAAAAAATCTGATTGCTATGAGATTCATCCAGGTCTCTGAAAACCATCAACAGTACCGTTTTGAATTTTCTGAATAACAATATTTGTGGAATGTTTGGAAACAGGTTCTGTATATATTGTTTCTATGATAAAATTATGAGACAAGAAAAGGACTACTTTGGTAAATATACGAGGAGCCTTTGACCATTGTGGAAGGTGATGACGAGGCTGTATCAATTCCATCTTTCATCTTTCTGACTCATGACATCTGAGAACATCAGAAGACTGTGCTCCCAAATATGTTCAATGGTATATTCACACAGTGTGCACACACAACACACCATACAATACTTTCTGATCCTTTTTATTCTTAATGAAACTTCCCAACATGTGGTTTAGTTGTTCTTCAGGTATATTTTCCAAACAAGAAAATGGAGCACAATTTAAAAAATAATTAATTAATTTTGAATTTCATTTTTATGAAGGCAAAAGTATTTATATTTTCTGATGTTAATACATGATGTAATGCTAATAAGAAAATTACATATTACTGATTTTAATATTAGCATGTTTCTTGAGCTACACCTTAACAAAATCTTTTTATGTAATCTTTTTTAGACCATTATTTTAGCAAAGTAGATTGACAGAAATATAACTAGATATAGTGACATCTCTGGTCCCCAAACATTCCTCCAAAGATAGTAGTTATTTATTTGTTACATTATACACAATTCCTACAAATTTATAAAGAAAACCTCAAAAGTGTATAAACATAAACCATTCATATATTGAACAAAAAACAATATAATCCTTTGCATTTCGTTTCTTTGGCAACCATCAAATCTAAAAGAGGCCATGACTTTGAACTGACATTGGTTCTCATGCAGTGTGACATATTCAAACTTTGCACACAACCAGTCAAGGCAGCAAAACCAGTCTAGGATATCTAGCATTTACCTGACTTTTCATCTGATGTTGATATTCATTTTCTCTTGAAGTGGCAATACATGATATTTGCATGCATCTGTTTCAAACAGCTGTATAACATCAAGACAAAGGTTGCTGCACTCTGTATAAACACTGCTGGTTGAGTTTCAACAGTAATTGTTGATAATGTGAATGGGTTGTCCTCAGCACACATCAGTCTCTCAAGTGGATGAGGGAGTATATTCAGAGAGGGCAAGAACCAATGTGGTAAATAAAAGACAATGTCTAATACTCCAGAAAATGCAAAAATGGCTCGCTATAGAAACCCACTTTCCATGACAAATCTTCATATATGAAACTCAGGGGAGTCTAGCACCTTCATCTTAACCCAATGACTTGTCTGTTTATCAAATAAAATATTTTGGCTTTGATTGGAAATGTTCTACATGCCGAAGATTCAACAAATGAGTTGTAGTTTCTATGAGATGAGCAGGCAGAGTTTGCAAGAAGAACTGCACATTTTCCAGAAATCAAAGTATCATGGCTGTTTCCATAGAAATAGCCAACATTATATAGATGAAGAAAAATGTAATGATTGTGCTCGATCAAGTGGAAAGAATCCGAGACCAAAATATGAGTTTATGACCATGATTCTTCTCTCCTGTATAGAAAGAAATGTGATTGAAGAAGCAGGAAATGGCCCATGAGCTTGATTGCATCCAAGTTTACGACAACTTACAAAATGCAGCTATGGATATACATCTCAATGTTACACTCTTGTAACCTATGTCTATCTTACAAATGGCTCTTTAACTTATGAGCTGACGAGGTGCTCTTCCAGGAAAGGAATGTGTCAGAGACTGAACATAAAACACAATTATTTGTGATTCAATGCTGAAGATTGATGGCTTTCAGTTGCTTTTCGCAGGCAGCAGTGTCAGACAAGATAGGATTTTATTCATTTATGTAGCTAGCAAGTACATGTGTGGATAATACTGGAAACATTCTAATTTTTAAATACAAATCATGATTCAATCTGAATTGCATACTTGGGTGTAATGAAGTATGAGGATTTTGCATCATGTTGTGAGTCATCGGAAGAGAGTCTATTCCATGTCTAACACGATATCAATAAAGTGGTCTGACCTTACATACCCACTGGAATACTCAGCGCTAGTCATAACACAAACGCTTCTTGCTGGCTATGCATATGAAATTAATCCATTGACGGCATAAATGATTTTGTCTCTCCCAAAGAATGATTTGTGATATATAGAAGTAGAGGTAAAAGAATCATTACTTCAGTAATAGATATCTGAGGGACATAGGGATATTGTCCCCAACACCTTGCCCTCCTTGCAAGAGATGACTAACTGGATAAGTTGGTGAGACTCAGTGATTTCACTGATTTCACTGATTGGATGATGTGGAAAGCTGCTCATAATATCAATCCTTGGACTGTCTGGACCTGGCTTAATTAATTACAGGCCACTATTATCAGGCCACAAAGAAAAAATATTACTGAGTGGAGACTCAAACAACAAACAAAACCTACTCCAAATGGTATGACATTTACATACAATATTTTCTTGAACAAACTGACCTGTTATTCATTCACTGTATCACCAGCATCTATCAGTCTTTATCCTTGCCATATGAATCCATGCATGAAGGTAAGGATGGTATTTTTAGCACCAGACAAACCAGTGGTTGATATCATGAATGACAATCCATGCCATCAGAGAGCACACTATAACCACTTAATGCTACTCACTTAAGCTGGCTTTAAATACAAGCATAGGATCCTGGGGCCCTGCTCTGTCTGTAATCACCATGGGGAACCAAACTGCTGATCTAAGTGTTGACCACGACCAACAGTTCAATTTACAAAGTTTCATGCAGATAATTTCCATTAACCACCTACCTGTAGAAATGATGAAGGGTTGCTCTCCTTTAGGACTTCTATACAGAACTGCAGCAGTCCGGTAGTCCTCTGTAGCAGGGAGGTGCAGTGAGACACTTGCTCCTTGAGAGTCTTCACCTTGTTGTCCTTCTCAACCTGCACACTCTCCAGCAGCTCCACCTTCCTCTTCTTGATGGCCTCAATCAGAGCATCACACTGTGCCACCACTGTCGCTTCAAACTCATTAGAATTGCCCTGGAACAAAAATACCTACATTGAATACTTAGTTTGGTGAGCACCACTTTGAACAGTTATATCATAATAAATCACACTCATCATAGATCATAGTGAATCTGAGGTACCCAAGAAGGTTGTACCACTTGTGCCCCCAATATATAATATTATTACATATATATACTGTACATATATACTGACAATATCGACTGACAATATGTTTAAATGTCTTCATGTGGCAATATTCAACCAACATGTATAGCAATGTATCCTCTTATAAAATGTTTGGCCAATATAACCTTCTGGTTTAGATCTAGTGAGTGAGTTTTGTCTTACGCCTCACTCAACAATATTTGAGCTATATGGTGGCGTTGTTTAGATCTAAAAAAAAAGGTATAGTGAAAACCTTTGAAGTTGAATGCAACAGAATAGAATAGTCAGTGAAAAGTGAAAACTGCTACCAGATGAGTTTCAGCTGATGACATATAACTTTCTGTAATTCTGGTTAGGAACTAAAAATAAGTGTTTTGTTTCTGACCATTTAGAAAGACATCTGGACCATCAGTATTGTTTTGCACACTGAGTGAGTGATGTCACACTGATTTGATAACATATTTTATTTGCTTTGCTGGAAACAAATGTCTGATACCAAAAGGGTCTGTCTTCCCAGCATATCTGCCTTGGTCATCACCAGAGATGAGGGTAATACAGACTTCTAACATTTTGTAGGTCTCTGCATCTGCTCACACTCTGACAGTTATAGAATCAAACTCAATAAGGTGATGGGTTCTGTCACAAGAGGTTCTCATTCTATAGGACATCCCTTTGTCTTCTGTCAGAGAACATACCAACATCAACTGTTGATCCTAATAATTGCACAGTGACACAGAAAACATTCCTGACTTGATGCAAAGTGGTATCTAGACCACGACAATGATTGCTATAAGCAGTATACATTGACCTTGTACAGTAGTCAACAGAGAATCATGTCAATAATATCCCATAAAAGTAGGCAACAACGGTTGAACAGTGTGACACTCCATTCAGGATTACTGCGATATGACAGAGGCCTGCAACAAGTCTGGACCAGTCAAACAACTGGTACATAGCCAGGTCAACGTATTGGGGCCATTCAAACAACACACAATATATTTTTTTGTTCCTGCCACAAATTCATCAATATTTTACATCCTAAACAATCATTTTATATCTAGAAATTTCCATTCATTTCCCAAAGCTTTGCAAAAGCCTTTTTGTACATTGCAAAGTTTTAAACAGTTTGTGATTATATGATTCATGCTAATTCCTGCTGTGATGATGTTTATTGTCGACAAACAGCATGTTTTCTAGGAAGATTTTAATTTCAAACAAAAACAAATATTATCGAATCAAAGAGCAAATAATGTGTTTGTTAATGGGCTAATTCTACACAATTACATCTGCATTTTCTTCACATGCAGTGTCAACATTATCATTTTTCCCTTATCCAAATGTATCAATCAAATTAACAGCATGTTTGTTTAATGAAACAGAAACATCAAGACAATAAATCATAACTTCAAATCCATTTACACTTTGTAATGCTGAAGTTTTAATGCAGAAACAAAAATAACTCCATCAAAACTTTGTTCATCTATTGTAACATGCTGGAATCAAACTCCCATCAATCCCAAAGTTGATAATTAGGTCTTTAAGTGTTTATAATTAGCTTTGGCACAAATGATAAAAACGTTTAGAAAAAATGCCATAAAACCCCAATAAACTTTTCTAATTGAGAGCTACATAAAGAATTAAAGGTATCAGTTACCTAATATGAATGATTTAACCCAAGGAAATGGCTGGGGATAAAGAACCTGACGACATAAATCTTCATTGTACTCGCTACATTTCACTCTTCTGTCAGTATTATTGTTACCTTGGAGCTCTCCCATCACACTACAGTACATAGGATTAATACTGGGGTAGGTGGGGGGGACTTAATAATTAAAGAAATACATGGATGCTAGAGAGAGCTTCGACAATCCACGACTATATGTGACGCCTCTTTGTCTGGTATGAGCACGATCACTTAATGGCACGCCATTAATGTTTAACCACATTCTAATCATTGCACGCCATCCTTTCTGATTTGGCCATGTTTCCAGTATGACCCCTGTTACCAGAATGAAAAGGCTAATTTCTCAAATTATCAAAAGACAGTCGATTTATGATTTGAATGGAAAGGTGGTCATATTGACGGACTGCTGGACAGCTGATCTGTCATTTCTGTATGAAAAATGAAGGATGCCTTGACCAGTGATGCCAATAAAATGTCTCTAACCATTTTAGCTAAACACAATGTTCTCTTAGAAAAATAGTGATTCTTTTAGCTTTACATAAGGAGAAAACTAGGATAATACATTTAGGAAACTGATACGCTGAAACCTCAATGTTTGAGGTGTTAAATGTTTTAAAGTCACTTGATAATAATATATTTTAGAAAATGCACACCATTATCTTTTGGAATCACTAAAACTCTTCAAGGATGTAATATTCAATTATCTAATATTCACAACTAACATTATGGGGTATGTAACTCAGAAATGGCATACAAAATTATACTCTTGATATAACTGAAGCCTATCTTCATACATGTATCATCCGCTTGCAACACACATGTGCTTGCATCAAATTTCAGATACAATCTTTGATAACAAATGTTCGTGCTTCCTGTTTCTTTCTCTGTCTTCATTTAAACAAGATACACCTACAGTGTTAAACTCTTATCAACTGCTACATCAGCATGACATTTCCCATGTAACCAAATCTCAGTCTTATTCCATGGAAATATTCAGTAAATTGCCAATGTAACAGTGTGTCAAAGAAACACATGTAATGTTTAGATTTGCAGTATAATCAAATGCTACAATATGCCTCGGCACTAGTTTCACGGATACAGACATGCTGGCAGCAGATACTTCACATCAGAGGAACCTGTAGAGATGTTTTTGTGAGATAGGCAACTGTAATTGATACAAGCAGATTACGTATGCAAGGCAGAAGTTATTTCAGATCTTCAAAAGAACAAAGTTGTAAAGATGGATGATTCACAAAACAATTTGTAATATGAAAGAATTTGAGATGAATATGCTTGTGAATTCTGCATAATAATCATATAAATATATGTAAATCTTGGTATCTTGAATCAGATACTTCTCTGAGGATCTCATCGGTTAGTATTCTGTAAAGAATTGCATTTGTTCACATTATCAGTACTAATCTCTGTCAAAAGCATGGATGTTTTGTTGTCATGTATCTACATAAATGTGAAAGGGAAGGCTGCCAACATATTTAGAAGCACATCAACTAAACACACTACTGAATCAAACTAGACTACAGTCACCTTCAACAGACACAATTTAATGGAAAAATCTCAAAACTTTTAATGTGATGTGTATAACCTTTCAGAGTGAGTGATTGAGTTTAGTTTTACACTGCACTCAGCAATATTCCAGCTATATGGCAGCAGTCCATGAATAATCAAGTCTGGGCCAGACAATCCAGTGATCAACAGAGTGATCATCAATCCATGCAACTGGGATACAATAACATGTGTCAACCAGGTCAATGAGACTGACCACCTGATCCCGTTAGTCGCCTCTTACGACAAGCATGGGTTACTGAAGATCAGTTCTAACCCGGATGTTCACGGGTCGTAACCATTCAGAAGTATTGAACTATATAGTATTCTATTGTCATCTTTACTTAACCTGTAGTGCAGTCTACAGAACCTACAGCTTGGCTGACATGTAGCCATCATGTCACTGAGAGAACATTACATACTGATTTTTTTGCAGTACTTCTGATAATTACCAGCAAATCTCTGCACTCTACATAATTACCATTAAATCTCATTACTTCTCACATCACCTATCCTTATCACAATATGGATGCGACCCTGCTCAGATGTGATGTTAAAGTAAACTCTCTCTCTCTCCACTCATGTCACATCTCAACCCCGACTAAGATAATAATCATACCATTAATGTCATCCACTTCTTTATCTTCTTTAATGTTTCAATTGCATTAACTATTACATCTTTATCATGCAAAGAATAGTTCATCACACACGGAAGGGAAACACTATTTGTAGATGAAATTCATCCTGTGTGTTTCATGAACCTCAAGGTCATTCCATACACTAATTTCTATCATAAGGCAATAAAGGTTTAACCTGAAATAATGAAAGTGTGAATTTTATATTCTGGACCTCAATATGGTTTCAATATTTATCCTTAATCTATATTTTTCTTTATCAATACAGTAACTTCATGATTTAATGTACATTATTATCTAAAACAGTGTTTTAAAGGTAGGCATCAGATTAGCACATCTGTGACAATATTGATCTCAACATCTTTGGAATTCAGGGCTAATGAAATGCTATACCCTGCATTTATGTCCAGTAGGACATTGGAACTATGCCACGTAAAGGTGTGTGTACTGAAAGCTGGTGTTTATATGAGGCAGGCTCTCGAGGATTATTGAATGTAACTTCCTGAATGAACACAGCCATCACATCACCAGCTCCTTAACATGTTCTTGTGCTGGTACATGCACCTGTTCTGTTCTTGAGAAAAATTTAAACATTGAAACTTTTCATACGTTTTCTGATTACAAGGAATTAACTTCAATGAGAAAGTCCTCATGGTTAAACTAGACTTCATCCCTGCAGAAAACTATACTTAATCAAATCACAAACCTCAACTTAATCCTGATGGTACACCAGACTTGGTCCCCAGTGGGAAAAAAGGCTTCATTCCTACAACAAAACTAACTTCATCCCTAAAATATCTTGATGTGGCAAGTTAAAAACTGTAGGACAAAGGAAGTGTTGGCTTATGGATTTCACATTCCTTTTCATTTCTTGCCCTAAGGGAAAACAAGACTTCATCCAATCATAAACTCATAGACTTCATACATCACCTGCCAAATTGAACCCACAAACTGTGAGAGTTCTTTGATACCTTTGAAAGCACATG